TGCAACAATGACTGTGGGGATGGCGTAGGACTGACCAGAGTTTTGTTTTGTTGTCAGTACTGATGGACACTACTTAATAACAACATTTATACTTAAAAAATCAAACAAAAACAAGTTAACATGAAATTAATATTTCTCTGAGTATATATCCACTGAGTTAAGTATCATTTCACCAAATATTTAAATTCAGATGAGAAAAATATTTTATTTTTAAATTTTTTATAGTTTTATTGTTAAACCAATTGTATTTATTGTTAAACTAAAAGGCATTTCAGAAGTTGAAACTGGAATTAAGTGTCACTTAATAAATATATTTCAGTAAAATCTTTTAAAACATAATCTATTGAGAACATGAATATAAAAAATGATGCTTGGTCATACAATTTTATTATATTTATGATATATTCTCTCAATATTTTATGTTGTTGTTATTGTTAAGTACCGTCAAGTTGATTCCTACCCATAGTGACCCTGTATAGGGTTTCCAAGGAGCAGCTGGTGAGTTTGAACCACTGACCTTGTGGTTGAAACTGACCTGTGGTCGCGTGCATATCCTACAGAGCCATACTGACATGTTTAATACATATTATTCAAAGGCTAACAATATATCTTTTCATCTGGAAGACTGCACATCAGAAAAGAGAATTCGGATAAAGAAGGTAGCCTATTAAATGTTGTTACTCTGGGCTGGGTTGCAGTCAAAGAATTCTTTCTGTTCTCAACGCCAGTCCTTTCCTAAAAGAGAAAACCTTAACATTTTCAGTCTTGAACTCCATCCATGCTTGCTTTTGTTCACTTACACACTGACTTTATTTCTCCTTTGTTCAAAAAAAAAAAAAAAAAGAGAGAGAGAGAGAGAGAAGAAGAAAAATGGCAGAGTATTTTATCTGTTAATAGGAAACAAATCATAAAATCTTTGTTTCAAAAATTGCATTATGTCCCATTGGGCTTGTGTCTTTCTCAGAAGTTAAAAGTCATGGAGTACATATAGCCTGGGGATGGATATGTTTCACTTGGTCCATATTGTAATGAAATTAAATTTAAATAGTTTCTGACATTTAAAAATTAAGAGAATTCATATAAAAGTTCAGATTTCCAGCTTTTTTTCAAACAGTAGGAGAAAGGGAGGCCCAGACCTACGTTTCCACATGCAGCAATAGTTAGGACTGAAAGACAGGGTCTCCTTTGGATGAAACACATGTTGTTTCATCTACTTTTATATTATCTATGGCAAGCTTTTACAGGGAGTCCTGGTTTGGCACTCACTGTAGGACTGGCACTGGACTGCTAACTACAAGGCTGGCAGTTCAAACTTATCAGCTGCTCCTTGGAAACCCTATATGGGTTCACTCACTATGAGTCAGAACAGACTCCATAGCACTTAACAACAAGCTTTAAAGGAGTCTTGGTGGCATTGTGGGTTAGGCGTTGTGCTGCTAACCACAAGGGTGGTGGGTCAAACCTACCAGCCCCTCTTTGGGAGACAGACCATCCTGGAAACCTTAGGAAGCAGTTTTACTCCACCCTATAGGGTTGCCATGGTAGCGTAGTGGTTATGAATTGGGCTGTGAACCACAAGGTCAGCAGTTCAAAACTACCAGCTGTTTTATGGGAGAAAGATGATGCTTTCTGCTCCCATACAGATTTACAGCCTCGGAAACCCTGTACAGGGTCGCTATGAGTCGGAACCGACTCCATGGCACATAACCACCACCACCATAGGATTGCTATGAGACTTGATGGCAGCAGATTCAGTTTGGGATTTTGGCTAGCTTTTGAATGGCAGAATTGGTCTCTTTACATTCTGAGAGGTATAAAGGAGGAGCAGGGAAGAGACAACAGGTCTGGTGTGGAGAAAAAAGCACTAATGTTGAATATTTATTACATGCCTGGTGATAAATATCATGTCTCTGGGTAAAGATGGGGCGTATCCTCAATTTTAATAAATATTTCCCATTGCCATTCAATTAATTCCAACTCAAACCTATACAACATTTCTGAGGTTGTAAATCTTTAAGGGAGCAGAAAGCTTTTCTTTCTCTCTCAGAGCAAGTAGTGGGCTTGAACCTCCAATCTTGTAGTTAGTGGTCCAGTGCTTACAATACAGCACCACCAACACAGGTTTGTTGCTGTTGTTGTCAAGTGCCATGACCCCATATAATGTTTCTAAAGCTTTAAATCTTTGCAAATACATCTTTAGTACCACACACATTTTGAAGCAATATCTGAAATCTGTTAACCATTTCAGAAGGAACCCTAGTGGTGCAATGGGTTAAGTGTTGGGTTGGTAACAGAAAGGTCCCTAGCTTGAATCCATCAGTTGCTCCCTGAGAGCAAGATGAGGCAGGCTGCTTCTGTGAATACTGAATCTCTGAACCTTTACTGAGTACTTCTACTCTGACCTAGAAGCCACTATGATTTGTTGTCAACTTGAGTGGGAATCAGATCAGGACCAGAGTAAAGAAAGTCTGATTAGAGACAGATGGTGAAAATAATCAATTAAATTCAGTTATCAAATAAAATTCTTGATATTGAGCAGCATTTACCAAAAAAGCAATTATATCTGTTTGTAGCAGGGGTTCAGGTATAGCAGTGGAAAATAGTCACTAATACTGTCATAAATATTATGTTAAGTATCATGGAGTTGGTTCCGATTGAAAGTGACCCTGAATAGGGTTTCTGAAGAGCAGCTGACCTCGTGGTTCAAGCCGACACTGCAGTTGAGCGCTTATCCTACAGCATCAAACATATAGAAATATGGTGGTGGTTATGTGCCATGGAGTCTGTTCCACCTCATAGCGACCCTGCACAGGGTTCCCGAGGGTGTAAATCTTGACGGGAGCAGAAACCCTCATCTTTCTCCCATGGAACCACTGGTAGTTTTGAACTGCTGATCTTGAGGTTTGCAGCCCAACTCATAACCACTACGCTACCAAAGCTCCTTTGTAAGAACATAGTAGAATTATATTTACCTGTTGAGTTGAACTTGGGCATGGCCATGTGACTTGTTTTGGCCAATGAAGTGTGAGCAAAAGTGAAGTGTGTCACTAGAAACTTTAAGAGCTAGTGTGCACCTGGCCACCAGTTTTTGATGGTCATGTTTCACAAAAGTGCTGCTTCCACAACCTGGGATCTAGTGAAAAAGAAATGACAAGACAGAGTGGAGCCACCAGCAGACCCTGATGGGCTCACAGCGTGAATGAGAAATACCCTTTTGTTGTTTTAATTCACCGTGATATGTGGGTTGCTGGTTACCATAGCTTAGCCTATCTTGACTGATCTACTGTGTACTCTAACTTTAATCAGTCATGGTTTCTGACATGTTTTCTATTATCCATATTATTATGTACTTAATATTTATTCCTTATTATCATCTTTAAATTAAAACCTTTACAATGTAGGCTTACTCTAAGCAATACATATAGTATGTACTAGCTGTACTTCAATATTTCATTAAATGTGTTTCGTATATTTGCAAAATACACAGATTTATATATATGTATTTACATACTTGTATATATCTATAATAAACAAGTCATATAAATTTAAATATATACATGTAAATTATATTTAAATCAAAATAAATATATAACTAGTAAACGTAATGTTACATACCATATTTTAGGAAACACTGAGCTACAACAGAAAATGAATCTGATGTTTAAGGTTGTAAAGTAAACAATTGTGTCTCAAGCTCCAGGTCTGGCTCTAAATTTCCATGTTACACTAATATCCCGTGAACTATATACTGTTTTCTTGACGTGCCAGAAATCAGAAATGGTTGTGTATTATGAATTTATTATTTGTGTAAATACACCATTTATAAACCATATCAGGTTTGTTTGCAAAATCATTAATGAAATAACATAATCAGGGCAATGATCTAGTTTGCATATGCAAATCCAAAGGTGTACAGGTGGAAAGGTTAAATGCACACAGGTTTTTACAGGTTTCCCTATTGCATCCTTGAGTACTTGACATTTAACATCAGTTAAAAATCATTATGTACCCAGCTGGTAAATGCTGTCTTATTGATGACAAACATAAACTACTGCATCATTATAATTTTCTGACATATTTAGTAGATTACAGAAAGAGGCAGGGGATAAAGGGGTAAAAGTCAAGCTAAGGTCTTAGAGATACCTGCCATGTGGCACAATCTGACATAAAACCGTAAACACCTCATATATATTTACATTATACATTCAACAATACCTTCTAAAGATGATTCTTCTCTAACAGGACACACACAGATAAAAAGCTTAGATATTGAAGGAAAAAAACTTATCTCAAATGTTGTTGTTGTTATGTGCCGTGGAGTAGGTTCCGACTCCTAGCGACCCTGCACAGGGTTTCCGAGGCTGTTAATCTTTACAGAAGCAGAACGCCTCATCTTTCTCCTGCGGAGCAGCTAGTAGTTTCGAACTGCTGACCTTGAGGTTCGCAGCTCGAATCGTAACTACTACGCTACCAGAGCTCCTCAAATAGATGTATTAAAATAATCAAAACCATGCTTTATGCAAAATGACTTTTGGGTTTAGACATATTTAGCCTCAAAACAGGCGAGTCTAGCAAGCCACATAACAGTATTGTCAATATTTGAAGGGTTTTATAGCAAAGAAGATTTGAACTTTCCTGTCTATGCCAAGAGGAAGTAGGATAGAGCAGACTGGAAACTGACAAGAAAAGCTCAGGCTACAATGAAGGAAGATATTTCTTGCTGCTCATTTTTGGGTAGTTCTAACAGTCTTCAACAGCAATCATGTGGTGAATCTATGCAAGCAATGCTCTGTAAAAATCCTAATATTGAGAATAAAAATAAAGACCACCTAATTCACCATCCCTCTTCCAAAGATGCCGTTCTATGGTTAACCATTCCCTCCTAGTGGTCATTAAGTTTGCAATTAGTAAATAGTCAAGTTTCCCACCTAGAACTAGTTATAAGAGGCTGACATATTATTACAAGGTAGCCAAATATGAAAAATATTTCAAGATATTACCTTTCATTTTCTCTTAATATGTCCCTTCCTTTCTTCCAGGTGTAAACAGGTTTTGGAGAAGCTTTGGGCTTACACTCAATGATAACTTCACCTCCCACTTTGACAAGAGTTACTCTTTTTAAGAGGGTTCTTGAAAAATCTGGACCCACAGCTGAAAGAGAATATAGGAAATGAAATAATTAATCATCATGAAGGAAAAATAACAAGGCCCAGGACCCGAAAGCAATGACACAATCAGACAAGTGCACATTGATGTTCACTGTGCAACTGTTTACAATAGCAAAGAGGTGGGAGCAACCCATGTGCTCATCAGCAGATGAATGGATGAACGAAGTGTAGTACTACTCAGTCTTGAAGAAATATGAAGTTCTGACACATGATACAACACAGATGAACCTCAAAGACATTATGCTGATCAAAGTCAATAACACAAAGTCAAATGTATTCTCACTAACACAAAATGACAAGAATAGTTGATTGTACAGAAACTAATGGAACCCTGGTAGCATAGTAGTCATTAAGTTAGCAATTAGGAAACAGTAGAGTTTCCCACCTAGAACTTGCTAAAAGGGGCTGACTATACAGCAGAACCAACTCAATGGCACTTAACAACAACATCCATATTGTTAATCATCAGGAGAAGTGTCTAAATCTATGGTTAATAATATGGATAATAATATGGATAATATTAAGTGCCACTGAGTTGGTTCTGATGCATACCAACCCTGTATAGGATTTCCAAAGGTGGCTGATGGGTTTGAAGCACCAATACTGTGGTTAGAAGTCCAGTGCTGATCCTATAGTGCCACACCAGGACTCCAATAATATGTATGGAGATAGTGAGAATGGTGACACATTGGGAAGTAAGGATTCAATGTCTTTCAACTCTACTATAGAAACTGTGGGTTACATAAGCTTCATCAGAAACTGTGACCTGCTTATAACCCAAACAAAATGCACTGCTATCAAGCCGAACCTTACTCAGAGTGACCCTCTACAAGGGTTTCTATAAGAACAGACACCCTCATATTTCTCCCAAAGAGTGGCTGGTGAGTTTGAATGGCCAAACTTATCAGCAGACTAATGCTTCATCCACAGTGCCACTAGATACTTAGATTTTGAAAACTCTACTCCATGTTCACCTCCAGAACTCTATAAAATTCACTCATATTAACCCAGTTATATAGTTATGTGCAGATACTATTAACAATTTATTTCTTCCCTAAGCCAAACGATACACATCTGTATCGTCTTAGAAAGAAAACAAAAGATGTCTTTCTGGAGAATGTTCATTTTCTTCTGTTAGTGGAATTCACGTGTTCTAGGATTTGTGGTGAGAACATGAGAATTAATGGATTCCTGTCCTGGAATCTCAATTTAAAAATATTTTAAATTTACAGACTGACTTTCTGCAGTTTGTTGTCATTAGCTGCACCGCGTTGATTCTGACTATGGCAGCCATGTGTGTTAGGGTAGAACCACTACATAAGGTTTTCCTGGCTGTGATCTCAGCAGAAGCAGATCACCGGCACTTCTCTTCCACAACACCACTTGGTGGATTTAAAACACCAACCTCTAGGTTAACAGTTGAGCGCTGTTTGTGCTATTTAGGGTTCTTCCCTGCTAATAGACCAAGATGAAATTTGATTTCAGATCACGTTGATTGTGAAATTCACATGCTAACTGCAAATGACTTAAATGAAGTTTGGGAATATCTGTATGTGGAAGTGAGGGCAATTACTTAATGTAGCTCACCATAAACTTAGTGATTCAAACTAAAAAAAAAAAAAAAAAAATTCAGTGAAAGCAAGTTAAATCTTTATGAAATGTCTTTGTTATGGATTGCTTAAAAATAAATACCTCATAAAGGGAGGGAGGTTACTTTTTAATGGGGTGACACAATGTACACAGAGGGCTCGTTTACTATGTGAAGGTGAAATTAAATAGATGAATCCAGTAAGTAATTGACATCTCAATCTATTTACTCTGCATTCATAAGGGAAGTCCATAATTCAGAGAGTAATTCTATAATGATTACTGCAATTAATAAGTAAAGTGCACATACAGATGACTGATATAATGAGATAAATATATTCTTAATAAGGCCTGCAAAATCACCTAAGAAAAATTATAGTGTTTATGGATAAGATAGGGTTAGGCAAGAACCACTTACTATTTATGTAAAAAGAACACTATCACACACAGTAACAATCCCAGTAAATAACATGAGCATGATTTGAAAGACAAGACACCTCCTACTAGGTAAATAGTAAAATAAATAAATACATTATTTCACTATGTGTGTACATGTGAAGATATCTTTACGGCAGGGAAAAAAAGAAAAGTTGAGATTGGTAAACTACGGAACAAGTGCAAAACACAGGAAGGTTGAGGAGAATCATACAAAAAGCAGTGTTATAATAAGGCATGTGGTCAGATGGAGACAAGGAAAGAATGTGGGGTGACTAACTGTGTTCGTCTGTTTGTCTTATATCTGGTTTCGGGTACACAAACAAATATAGCATCTATGTTTTAGTGATGTTGTTCTCCCATTTACCAGTCTCATATAAACTGATCTGCGGCACAGACGTGTGTTTTAGCAAAAAAGACTCATTCTCACGTTAGGCAAACATCCAAACTGATGCACTGATGAAAAACCAAACCAAACACAAAAATAAGTCTGCCAGAAGTTTTTTTTAAAGGGCATTTTTGTGAAATAGAGTTGCAATCTGGATCATATTAAATATCCCTTCTTAAAACTGTATTATTCTGCACATATATAGTTGTATCACTTTCAGCAGACATTTTTCATCCATTCCAAAACAATTCTGCAGCAGCATTTGAAATGAGTGAACATAAATCAAACTGTGCACAACAGTTGGGTATATTTGTCAAAAGCTATACATTGTTTTTTCAAGGTTTGAAATGGTGTAGCAGTCACACAGAAGGCAGAAGCATATCTTCGCATTTTAAAGGCATTTGTAATATATGGTTTATGCACATATTACCTTTCACATATGTGCTCTGAATACCTTTCACTAATCAAAATGGTGTTATGAATTCAAATCTCTTCTTTTCAATTCAATATAGAGTGTGCTTAATTTACTTCGGGAGTTATGTTGTTGTTTTTAAATGCCATTGAGTTGGTTACGACTTATAGTGACCCTGTGTAGGGTTTCTGGGGAGCAGCTGGTGAGTTTGAACCACTGACCTTGTGGTTCAAACTGACCTTGTAGTCCGGTATATTATTCTGTAGCACCACATTAGGATTTCTATAACCCTACAGATTAAATAGTTGTCATAATAAACTGCAGTGTTTTTTAGGTCAAATATATCAAACTTCCATCAGATTTTGAATATTTAACCCAATAATGAGCTTCTTAACATCCTGTTATTTGTGTCCATCTTTTACATCTGAGATTATCCTAGCCTTATAAGATGATACTTTACAGTAGCTGTACTCAATGTTGATTTCAACCCCAGACACCATCCCAGGAGAGAATTGAAGGAGAACCAAAAGAGTCCAGTTCAATTTGACATTCACAGAGAATCACATTTTTTATGTTATTGGTAAGGTCCCCAACAGGGCACTATTAGAGCCTGACCTTTGCTGGTACTTAAAAAATTAGTGCTTCCTGAAGGTGAAACTTTACTCGTTTTTTAATAGTTCAGAAGGATAAGGCCAGTTGTGAAATTACCCATTTGAGTCTAAGAGTTGCCCAAGTACTCGGAGAGACTCATTTGCTAAATTCAAGATACTTAAAAGGATAATTTTTCTAATGTGAATTACTAGAGGACCCCATTCCCTCAGTGTAGGAATAAATTATGCCATTGGACCTCTTCCATGCAGCACATATACCTTTTCATTATTTATCAGTGATCTTTATGATTCTAACACTATCTAAGAGAAACATCCAGCTGAAAGAAGCCCTCTATTCAATTCTCAACTGTCTTTTTGTTTTTTATTTTTAATTTAATTAAAGGCTACTTGGTCACATGTCAGGAATATTTTCAGTGGCCTGCAGTAGAGCCCCTAAACACAGAGGTTCTGTGTCCTAGTATTGTTTCTCAGGGGAGACAGTAAGAACGCTAACTCCATAGCAGGCTATCAATGGCAGTCTGGTGGGAAATATATGGGAGCGATGTTTTCCTATGCTATTGAAGGCAGACAGATAATTATGCATGCCTGTTCTCTCACAGTTGCTCTGTGGAAGCGCCACCGGGAATAATGCCAGTTGGTAGAGACTATTACGGCTGATGACTCGTCTAGAAGTTCAGAATTTCAGACTATTTGGCCTTTATCTATTATCTTTAACTATTACCTCATCATCCCATAAAAATAAATCTAAGTGAATGTGGTTGTTCAAAACTTTCTACCAGCAAGGAGATAATGTTAGTATCAGATTGTAAAACTTAGAACTTCTTGTGGCTTTCAGGATGTATATGGCATAAACCTGTATAGCAACAAATGTTGGCAAGGGAGGGAGACCGCAGCCCTCAGATGCTGCTGGTGAGATGCTAAATGGTGTAACAACTGTAGAAAACATGTGGCACTTCCATAAAACATTACAAATACAAATACCATATGATCCAGAAAGCCCACTACTCGGTATACATCCTCTAGTGATAAAGAACAGCTGTATGCACAACTATATTTTTTGCCTCACTATTCACAATAGCAAAAGGATGGAAACAATCCAAATGCCCATCAATGGAAGAATGAACAGACAATCTATGGCATGGACACACAATGGAATACTACACAAGGTTAAAGATTAACAATGAATCTATGAAATATCTTATAACACGGATGAACCTGGAGCACATTACACTAAAGTGTAAAAAGTCAGTTACAAAAGGACAAACATTGTATGAGACCATTATTATAAAAAAGTCAAGAAAAGGTTTTCACACTATAAGAAATGTTCTTTGATGGTTACCAGAGTGAAGGGATAGGGGAGGGTAACACAGTAACTATAGGGGAGACACGAATTAACTTGGGTAAAGGGGAAAGCCATACACAGTAAGGGGGGAGGGGCTGGCAAAATAGGATAGAGATGGGGGAAGATACTTGGAGGAGAGCAAGAATTAAATGCAAGAGATGTAGACACAAGGGGGCTTCAAAAAGCTGTGGAAAAATAAAATGAAAAG